TAAATAGGCCTATGAATCTTAAACTGGAACAAGTCGTTCCAAAATAGTCATTGTGAGCAAGGACGGAGCCAAGGGGGGACCTACGGGTGCCACAAATAACCAGCCATACTAGTATAGGGAAAATACTATACTACTCATTCATTCAATCATCATCACAAACGACCATACAGTTTAACATAAAAACCCAACTCATTCATACAACTTAGAAGCAACTTTAATACAATAACAACAATAATATACAACTTAATATTTAATGCGTCGTCACGCATATACAATTAGGAGATCTCCAACAACTGAGGTTGAATAGTCTAGGTGGCATAAACCCTACCGAATCTAGCGTTTGACCTATCTCAATTAGGTCAGGTATAAGACATCGTTAGGAACTCCGAAGAGAACCAGGTATAGACAACTATAGATGATTGCTCAGGTGTGCCACTTAGACTCGGAGGTCCAGTACTGCTGTCAGGACAGAAGGGTTTGGATATGAGCCTACCACAGCTTTGGCTAGCATTACCAATCCACATATGGAGTTAGCTCACCCACTGTCCTCCAAGTACCACGCACCTTCCAGTACCTAGTCAAAGACTACATCTCTAACTAGATACCTTACTCAAATTGGTCATTCAACCATGACATGGATCAACTACTTTCATGTCGCCCACACAGTACTAAGGGATTCAACTTTAAAACAACTTTCAACTTATCTCCTTAGTACTGTGTATCTCAACATAGGACATATATCTTCACCATATGTCCCCAACTTTTCAACTTTATAACAATAGGCAACTTTACAACTTTACAACTATAGGCATCATAACAACTTTACAGCAATAGGCAGCTTTACAACTTTACGACAATAAACAACTTTACAACTTTACAACTATAGGCATTGTAACAACTTTACAACAATAGGAAGCTTTACAACTTTACGGTAATAAACAACTTTACAACAATACAACAATAGACCTCTTACAACAATAGACCTCTTACAACAATAGACAACTTACAACAATACAACAATAGGCAACTTATATACCAGCTTGAAAACTTTCTATTCAACTATATCACTATACAACTTTAATAATTTTAACAACATGTGAACAACTTAATTCCATCAATTACACAACATATAAGCTTCATACAGTTCAAAAAGGAACTCAGATTCAACACATCAAAATCATCAAAAATCCCATTTTTCCCAAAACCCCAAAAAATGAGAAAGTTCTCAAATCAATCAATGATTCTCAACATTCTTACTCCATATGAGTTCCTAAACTCACATATAACCAAACAACATACAATCTAGCTTCCCTTACTTAAAGATTGGCTCTAAAAAGCCAAGAATCTGAGAAGAAGAAGAAGAAGAAGAAGAAGAAGAAGAAGAAGAAGAAATATCCTCCAAGCTTGACTCTTGAACTTCAATCCTCCAAAAATAAGATTTCTAGTCTGAAATTCAAGAGAAGACAGAAGACATTAGTGGTCAAGAGGAGAAGAAGAATAATCTTAAAGAAAATCTTTTAAGCATTGGCCAAATGATGGAAAATGGGTATTCTCTTCATTTTGAAAGAGATATATGCAAAATTTATGATAGTAAAAGGGTAGAGATTGGCCAAGTAAAAATGGAGAAGAGAAATAGAAGCTTTCCTCTAAGCTTCAACCGTGGCACAAATATTGCCATGAAGGTAGAAGTTGATGACTCATGGCTCTAGCATCGGAGATTTGGCCATTTCAATATTCATGCCTTTAAATTCAACTCCAGAATGGGCAGTTCTGGTTTGAGAACGGGTCGTTCTAGACGTGCCAGAACGGGCCGTTTTGGTTTCAGAACGGGCCGTTTTGCATGTGAATTTTACACATGATGAAGGAGGCCAGAACGGGTCATTCTGGCCACTTCAGACTTTTATAAATAGGACGTGTGTGTAGTTGAGGAGAAAGAGAGGTTTTAGAGAGAAGTTCTAGAGAGAAGGACTCTGGACTAGAAATTAAGCTTGTTTTTTGAGGATTGAAGTTCAAGAGTCAAGCTTTGGAGGATATTTCTTCTTCTTCTCCTTCTTCTCCTTCTTCTCAGATTCTTGGCTTTTAGAGTCAATCTTCAGGTAAGAGAAGCTAGATTGTATGTTGTTTGGTTATATGTGAGTTTAGGAACTCATATGGAGTAAGAATGTTGAAAATCATTGATTGATTTGAGGACTTTCTCATTTTTTGAGTTTGGGAAAAATGGAGTTTTTGATGATTTTGTTGCATGGTTGATTTCATGTTGAATTTGAGGTTATTTTTGAGTTGTATGGAGTTGTATAATTACATTGAGATGTATGATGAGTAGAAAGTGAAATGAAGATATGCATGTTGAGTATAGTGTTGTAAACTAAATGAGTAATTGTGCCAAATAGAAATGTGTTGAATATATGTGATATGTTGTTAAATTTGCTATATGTTATGTGTGGACATTTATATGTTGTGAAATATGATGAGATTATATAGCTGAAAGTTGTGAAGTGCATGACGATAATATTGTGAGTTGTGAGAAGTATGATGTGAAGTGTGTAGATGTGTTGAGACTTATATAGATGTTATTAGTAGACTTGTTGTTAAGTTGTTAGAGGAGAGTTGTATGTTTCTATAAAGTTGTATGTTGTGCCATATGTTGAAAAGATATTACTTTATGATGATTGAGTTGTAAATTATGAGTTGAGCTAATAAGCTGTTGAGTTGACTGTGTTATTTAAAGTTGAAATGAGTCGATCATTGAGTTGATGAGATGATAACCATGTTGTTTAAGTTGAAAGTTGATTGAGATGATGAGTGAAAAGTTGTATGTTGTTTAAGTTGTTGAGCGGAGCTGTGCTGTTGAGTTGTAAGCTGATTAAGCTGTGATGATATCACTAGGACTAGGGGAGATATTTTCGAAGTTGCTCATCCCATTGTGTGGATTGAGATAGTTGTGGTGCTCTGAGAGCCCAATTTGTTGAAAAACCCTCCTTGGGAAGTTGTCCCTTGGAGTGGACGTTATGTTGCTCTCCTCTAGGACTTAATTGATCCCGTGTGTGGGTAAGGTCGAGGCACACGTGTACAAAGCGACCACAGTATAGGGGCCAGGTCGTGCTATAACGATTACAAGCGGCTAATTTGAGTAAAGTACGAAGTCGGGAACTTAGTTCCTAACCGAGTATCGGAGGGTTGTAGTATTTGAAGGATAGTCGGTAAGCTAATCCCATAGGTGGCTTAGTTGAGCTAGCTAATGTCGTGGTAGGCCTAAACCCAGTTGTTCTATCCTGACATAGTACTATACTTCCTTGTTTAAGTGGCGAAGTCTGAGAAACCGTTATCGTGTTGTGGATTTCTATCCAAATTTGTTGTTTACCTAGCAAGCCCAAAAAGGTTATGTGTTGTCGATTCGGTAGGACCTAGCCACTTAGACTGCTCATCATGTTGTAGGAGATCTCCGAGTTGAAATGCGTGACAACGTATAAGTTGTTGATGAGTTGATTTGTTGTTGATACGAGTTGTATATATGTTGTTGTGTTGTTAAGATGTGATTATGTTGTATGTTGACCCTGTTGAGGATGATGATAGTGTGTTGTTATGTTGTAAGTTGCTTTAAAACATGTGTTGTTGAGAGATTGTAATACATGTGTTGGTTGTTGTTATGATGAATATGATAACTATTTCAAATGGTTTGTACAGTAGTTGTATTGAAGTATTGATCAGTGTTGATATGTTTGAATATAAGTTGAAATGATGTTAAGATGTATAGTATATATGTTGTTTGTCTTACGTGTCGGATGCGAAGATGATTATATAGTTGTTGTGTTACATATATATTAAATTATTATGAGTTGTTTATTGTTTCTAGCTTACCCTTGCATGTTTCCATGGTTTGGACTGCGATGATCATACGTTGTATGGGAGCAGGACAGGGATAGGCTGGGAGATAGCTGCTAGACGCCACAGGAAGTGCTTGGAGATGGATATTTTTTGTAGGCTCTTATAGTAGTATATTTTTTTGTATATAACTAGTTAATGTTGGTTGCTTGATTAGCAACTTGTGTTGTAAATATTTTATTATACTATTCTAGTATATATATTCCAGTAGTGTGTAGTGTTGTTTCGTAGTGTGACGGCCACGACAGGTCGTTACAGAATAACCATAATTTAATGATTAGTCTTGATAGTAGTTTACATTACTAATAGTGCAATACACAAATTAAATGTTTATTATACATAACTAAAAATTAAATTAAATTATGTATATAAATAAATATTATATATAAATATATAAATTACAATTAGATTTAAATAAACAAATATTTTAAATATATAAATAATATTTACATTTATGATAAATAAATTATATTATAATACAAATTTATATATTTTTGAATTTTGATCATTATTTTAAAATATTAAAATTTATTTCATAATTAATGATGATAAACAAAAATTAAATTAGATATAAAGTTAAAAAATTCTTAAAAACTTTCTCGCGCAAAATAATAGTTCATGTTTTACATGGACAAGTTGATTGTGAATTGGATGATTATTATGTTTGAATGATTTTTTATGTTTTTAATTACATATTAAAGAGTATCATTAAATTTTAAATTAATCAACTCATATATTAAACAATAATTATTATCTTACCAGAAAGTAATTTTAGAAACTTTCCTTTAACAAGAGAGTTTGTTGAGATTCTTTCAACAACTTATCTAATTTGATTTTTTTTTATCATAATTATTTATAAATTAAATATTAATATTTTAAAACCAATTATTAATAAAATAAATAATTTTATACTACAATGAAAATTATTTATCATAAATTTACATGACTATTATATGGAAATGTAGGTTGTAATTAAATAGAAGGTATAATTGTGTTTTGGTGACTGTCTACAACTATAATATTAATTAGCATTTGACTTTCAAATTCAGATATTTAAAAGGTTCACGTTACATAGTTTCTTTATATATATATATTTGGTGAAACTGAGTGACACACAAGTTCGGTGAAAAGTTAGCGTGGATAATGGCTTCTATGCTTCTTGGCTCTTTCTCTTTGGCTTCTTCCCTTACCACTGGTAAGCCTTCCAATAATTCGTCCATTTTATTTCAGCAATATTACTGCAAATTTATGTTGTTTATGCATTTTTCTAAAAAAAAATTGATGTGAAAAATGCTATATTATTTTATGGCTTCATGGTGTGCATGCTGATAATTTTATTGTTGAGGAACCTTGTGATGTGAGAAGAAGCATATAAATGGGTGTATTGAAGGGAAGGGTGAATAGAAAATATACATCAACACTGTTTTTTATTCGATGCGTCTATGGTTGTGCATTTTTGTTGTTAATATTGTTCTCATGCACCTTTTGTGTCGATCTTTTAAATTTTTATGAGAGTCTTAGGACATGTTTGGATGTACATATAAGAATCACTTTTAAGTGATGGCCACAATAATTAATAGAGAAATCATTTAGATGTGGAGAGAATGTTCATCCATTTTTTTTTTAATTTTAATTCCAAATGCACACTTAATAAACATTTGAATTCATATAAATTTTCATTGCACATGCAACAATTTTTATTAGGTATAAATAAAAGAAATAATAATATTTTTTTATATTAATTTTAATGTGATTCTTATATGAGCGTAGATCATAGATGTGAAACTAAAGCATGTATTTGTTAAGAAGGGTTGTTGCTCTTTCATTCTATAACGAGTTTACGCGGGAAAAAAAAACATTTTTACAATTATGAACAATTAATTATTGTTCCAAAATAATTTTTTTATTTAATTTAATTTTATGAACAATTGATAACTATATAATTTATAGCACTTATTTAATTATGAACATTGATTACTATATAATTTATAGCACTTATTTAATTATGAACATTGATTACTATATAATTTATAGCACTTATTTAATTATGAACATTGATTACTATATAATTTATAGCACTTATTTAATTATGAACATTGATTACTATATTTTATGTATATATGTATTTTTTATTTATTAATTGCACTTGTCATTATTAATATCTTTTATTATGACAATTCAATGTTATAAAAATTGGATCAGACATGAATCAGCTTTTAGACAGCGATTTAATGGTTTAATATTCAAATTGAGAGTTTATTACTAAATCAGTAAAAAAGATCTATATTAAAAAGTTAAAAAATAATATAATTAACATAATTTAAGATAAAAAATTGAAATAAAATTATAAGTTAAAAAATAATATAGTTAACGAAATTTAATAACACTGTTTGATCTTTCGAACTAACAATTGTTTTTTTATATTTATTTTCTACATTCATAGATTTAAAATTAAGTCCAAAATTAGATGTAAAAAATTGAGTCTCTTGTACTTAGATAAACACATGTTAGTTCTTGGATACAATCTAATAATTTTTTATTATACACTAAAAGAGGTTTAATTTTTTACCATATGCAGAAATTTTGAGATGTGAATTGAATTTTTTTTATAACAATAAATTTTAAAACGATTTAATTACAAGAATTACCATTTCAAAACAAATTATTTTTGTGTTGATCACATTCCGCATTAAAAGCTTAAAAAGTTCACACTAAAAATATTTTGTAATGATATTTTAATTTATCATCGATAGTCACTAGCTAAAATACAAGTTATTATTAAATTAGTGACAGTGTATTTAAATGTTACAAAAATTAATGTTTATTATGAGAAAAATATTATCATTAATATTTATATTTAATAGTGATAAAATCAAGTTGCCACAAATATAAAAAAATAATAAAAATAATAAAAATTATTATTAATATCAAATTATTTTCTCATGACTAGTAATTTTTTTTTAAATAATAAGGTTTGTATAATTTTAATTTTCACATTAGTCTTTAATACCGAATTTCATTTTCTAATTAAGAGATTGCTTTAATATTTAATCAATAATATTTTACCTTTTTATACAAATTGTTCTATTATTATACCTTTTCAAAATTAGTACACTATAATATCAATTCAAAATTTGAAACTTATGCGTTATAATTCATTCATAGGAATAATGCATTAACAAGTACATAAAAGAAGGTAGTTTAAATAATTATATTACAAATTTTCCCATAATATGAAATAACTAATATTTATATAAACAAAATATAAATAAAACTAATCAAAACCTTTAAAGATGATTTGTTAGTATTACAAAGAAAATGCAAAAAATTTATTTTTATTGAGTATTCCTCACGTAATAGAAATAAACTTTATCTAAGATTTTCTCTTAGATATTTATTTTCATCACTCATCCAAGTTTTATATTACTTAATATTGTCTAAAATGTCTTTGAGTATGTTTCTAAGAGATGACACGAATTCCTAGCTCCGCAAAAAAATTATTTCATAGTTTTGTTGTGTGTATACTTCCATAAGGTCAATTATATTGATATAATAATAAATATTATTTCATGAACAACATCAATTTAAAAAAGTATTTGGCTTATGTCATTCAAAAAAGTATTCAAATAAAAAGAACATAGTATATTCTCATGGAAATTCAACTTGAATTGGTAAAATAACCTTCAATTATGATATCAAGTTTCTCAAAATCCAATGTGAAGGCTTTAACCTACAAAATAAGATTAAAAAAAATAAATATTTTATTTTTATTGAGTATTCATCACGTAATAGAAATATATTGGCTTGATCCACAAAAGATTTTCTCCTAGTGTCCCTAATTAACCCCCCCTTTTCATCACTTCATCCAAGTTTTATATTACTTAATGTTGTTTGAAACGTCTTTGAATATGCTATCAAAGAGATGACACGAATTCCTAGCTACACAAAAAGGATTATTTCATAGTTTTTTTAGTCTTGTGTGTACTTCCACAAGGTCAACTATATTGATATAATAATAAGCATTATTTAATGAACAACATCAATTTAAAAAAGTGATTGGCTTATTTCATCAACAAATTATCCGAATAAAAAGAACATAGTATATTCTCATGCAAATTCAACTTGAATTGGTAAAATAACCTTGATATCAAGTTTCTCAAAATCCAATGTGAAGGCTTTAACCTACAAAATAAGATTAAAAAGATAAAAAATTTCAAATACAAGATAAAAAAGCTAATTTACAAACCCGAATAAAACAATACATAATACACAAGTTCATCACTAACATAAAAAAGAGAAAAAGAAAAGGAACTTCCACATACTTAATGCGTATTTAAATTTTCATCCACAAATCTTAAACGTGATAGAAAAGTAACTATTTATTATTTTTATGTGTTTTGACGTGAAAAATTATTAAAATATAAATCATTAACAAAAATTCAAACACGTACTTAATCAAGGATTATTAAAAAAATAAAAGAGAAAAAAAAAAAAAAATATATATATATATATATATATATATATTCTCCCTTCCTTAACATATACCCAAACCACAAAAATTCAAAGTTTCCTTGCTTTTGCCCATATTTCCAACACAAATCAGTGATGAAAACGAAATGAACAATATTACCTTTTTGATGTAAGCAAATCAGAATACACAACAGCATAGCAAATATTCTACTTCTTAATAACCTGGATCCAAAGAAGTCACGTAAAATACCAATTAGAAGCCATAAAATATTAATTTTCAAAACAAATATTTTATTTGATGCCTATTAATCAAGAAACTTCTCCTGCTTCAGAATATAAAACATCAATAATCACTATAGCATTTCAACAAATTAAAATTACACAAATTGCCCAAAATATTACTTGCAAATATCATTGTTAATTGAAAGCTTTGTTCTGATATTGCAAATTCGGAACATGTGTTGTTGGGGGAATTAGGAGAGGGCTTTGGAGAATGTAACTGACAAGGTTTGGACCGAGCCACATCATCTGTATTCTCATCACTAACATATTATCAGGTTCTATGCTCACTAACATATTATCAGGTCTAGTTGGAATATCTAAGTTATAAGTTATATAAAATACATCTCATATTTATGAAGTAGGACTGAAACTTTTAAATTAAACTATTCTCAATGTTAGTTTCTAAATTTTTACATAACATACTACTTTCTTAGCAGTGTATTCCATATCTTATCCTTTCAAAATATTTTATGCATGAGTTATTTTCTAATCAACTCTTATATATTTTATTAGCTCTTTGAATGTCTCAAAAAGTGCATAAGAGATTGAAAAAAAATTCCCTAACCAAAACGCAATCTTAATAAAATAACATGAATTACAGTACTCTTAAACAAAATAGGTATTCCCCATAAACAAATCGAAATTATGAATTGTTGCGTGTCAAATTATTTATAATTCTTTTTATGACGGTTATTCTTTCGGTGCACGTTACATCTTACATGTTTCAATATTTTTTTATAAATTTTTTAAAAATAAATTGTCATGTAATAACTCATATATTATATTAAATAATAAATATTATTAAAAATTATTTTTATCTATTATATATAAAATATATATTGATATATTATCAAAAATATAAATATAAATTTTAACATGACATATAATATATATTTTAAATCTCATTCAAAATTAATATTAAAATTATGCATAAATATATGTTAAAAAAGAATTATATTTATAATAATAATTTTGTATCTTACTATTATTTGTTAGTGATTGTTTGCGGTAAAATTTGTTTATGAATTTTTTTATTCGAGCTAACCAAGTTTTTAATTTAGGTATGATATCAAGTAGTGTTTTCTGCATATCTTGCTTTTGTACGTTATTAATGCGCAACCAATTTTTTTTTAGAATGAAGCTCACATGCACCAAATATAACCAATTAGCCAATTAAACTAGTCAAAGTTTAATTTTAACGTTTTTTAGCGATTTCTAGATGTTTTTTTGATGACTATCATGAAACGAGATTCATGGATATATAAATATTTAAATGAATCGAATAAACAACATATATATTGATAATAGAAATCATAATTTGCTTGCTTCCAATAATTGTTGAATTACAGTGCACAAGAATTCTGAGAAGCAACAGAATTACAATACTACACTATACTAACTAGGCTAGAATTACGCTAAGAAAAGAAAAGAAAAAGGGTGGCCAAGAAATTACTCAACAATATCGTGCACAAGAGCCATAAACGTAAGCAATAGATGCATATGAGCATATAAGCATTTGATTTCTGACCCTTAAGACTGAGCCTGACCTGTCTATTTGTAAAAAGGCCAAAATAGCAGTTGGATTTATCGTGCCATTAGTAACCGTCCCATTCTTTGGATCGTGTGTTATCTTTTCAACCGCTTCTAACTTCCTTAATTACCGTCTTTCAACCATCTATCACTTCCTTCCTTGAAACACATAATCATTATTTTCCAAGAGGTGGTTACTATACGTGAGTTCCACGTGGATTATAATTGTCCTGTCATTTACGTCATATGAATAACTTCCTTTAAACCGTTTGAGATTGCTCCGTAACCACTTGTTTGAGTATTGAAATCTTTCTTTTTGAACTTGAGAGCTGTACTCGTGATATTTTACTAATTTACTATTTCAGGTCATAGGTGTATCTACCTAATCTCTTTCGATCATTGAACATTTCTACTCTAAAATTTTACTCCTAACAATGATAAATAAAAGAAATTTGAAGTGAGGGCTCATTACTTCTTTTTCATGGTCACAGCTACTAACATTCCACATTTGATATTATAGGTTGTCACGTAACAAATGCTTCATTTTATAAAAGTCGGAAAATTCGGAATGAATATCCCATCATGAGACATGAGAAGCAAAATAATTTGAAGCATGATTATAGATTATGCATTGAGGCAGCATCCACAGGTAAAGAATGTGCTAGAAGTAATGTTGTGAATGTAGCCCCTGGAGAATCATTTGAATCTGAACCTCAAGATCCTAGACCAAAAAGCCTTTTGGCCTCTACAAAAGATGCCATAAATATTTTAACCAGGTTTATGAGGCCAGTGGCAGCAATTGTTGCAGTTAAGTCAAACCTTTTTTTTTCTTCTTTTTCTATATAATCAATTTGTAAATAATATTAATCCATATATTTTGTATGAACCTGTGTGTCTGACTTTAGAAAAACAAAATATGTAATTTTTTTTAATTTTTAAAATATTTACGTAAATTGTTTGTGTTTGTACAGGCAGTAAACATAACTTCTTCGGCTCTCCTTGCAGTGGAGAATTTTTCTGATATTTCTCCAACATTTTTTATTGGTTTGTTGAAGGTGGGGACTCAAATTTGTTTGTGATTTAAATATGTCTAATGGAGGCTATTTGCATCCTTTACCTAACTTTAATTATCAATACTTGTGCGTCATTATTTCAGGCCTTGGTAGCTATCTTTCCCATGAACATTTTTGTTGTAGCCTTGAATGATTTAGCTGACTATGAAATAGACAAGGTATGAAATTTATCATCAGAAATTAACAATATGCTAAGTGATGCATGGTTACTTTTACTTTTTGGACTTTTGGGCATAGGTACTCAACCCAAGACCAAATTCGAGTTTCGAAAATTAGATTTGGTTTATTTTAGATTCAAATTAGTTCACACTTTGAATTTGGACCATGCTACTTTTTAACTAATTTATAGGTTAAATTTGCTAAAAGCTTCCTAATAAAAAAATAGGAGATAAAATGAATTGAGTTTCTCTTATAACTTTATACACAAATTATATATATAGTTCTTAGAGAAACTAATTGAGAGAACATCTATAAAGTAAATTTTACATAAGTTGATTTTAATTGATAAAAAAAATTAATCTATGTTACCTTCTTATCATCTTTTCTTATTTGTGCTTGCAAAGAAATTTATCTAAATAGAATCTTTTACATTACAACTTTTATAAAAACTGTCATTTAAAATTTTTGAAAGTTCATTTTTAAATTATATACAAGTAAATATTAATTTATGAGCAAAACGTTTTAGTTTTTTTTTTTTTTACAAGATCAGAATTTCTTCTATGAAATTATAGTCACTATCACCGTAATTTAATTTTAACCGATCTCTTCTATGGAAAAGATGAGAATCTTAATTCTACATTGGTAACAAATAAATTTATTTATTTATCATTCATCCGATCTACATACAAGTAAATTTAATCAATTTATTTATTATGACAAAAATAAATAATAAATAAAATTCAATTCATCCATTTAATTTTATAGATAGATAATAATTCATTCACTACTTTTTTAAAATCCATTGGATTATCATATAAGATATTTACTAGATTGAGATTTTAAAAGATTATTTTGATAAATTTTTTTTATAAATTTTAAAATATTATATAAGAATATAAAAACTTATAAAAAATAGAGAAAAATAAAATATTTCAAAAATAAAAATTATAAATTTTTTAAAACATAATAATTTAGATATCTATCCATAAAAAATTTGTTAATTGATAAATTTGATGAATTTTTTCTTTTAAATAAATTAAATTTTCACATATAATTTTTTAATAAATCTAAATGAATTACTTATATTCAATTCATCATAATCCGTCTAAAAAAAATTATGTGATCCATATATTTATCACTCTTAATTATATGTCACATTTTCACGGAATATCTGTTTTGAGAAGAAAAATTATACCGATATTTCCCAACAACATTTTGGGCAGATCGATGCATGTCTCACAATCTCCAGCTAAAGCTATGTATTGAACACAAGTCAGCCTAGCTTATCCTTTTAAATGATTTTTTTTTGTCCTTTTTACATCATAAATTCCTTACTCTAAACATCAATATTCATAATTATCAACTCATGTTTTTTTATTTCAAGAAAATTAAAAATGAAAATTCACATAAGATTGTAGGCAAATCTTATTATATGCAATAGTATTACATTAGTTTTTTTTTTATTTATTGCGTACTCTCATTGCTATGGAAATAATATATTAATTTGAGCTACATGTTGTATTACTTGCAGATAAACAAGCCAAATCTTCCATTTGCATCAGGAGATTGTTCTTTTGAAACTATCACTACTATTGTTGTATCAAGTGCGATTCTGGTATTATACCTAAAATTGCTGTTTATGGAAACTTTGATGCAAATCATGTCTTGTACTTGATTATCCTTGTTATTATCAATATTCTTTTTTTTTTCATTGATATTAAGGAACCTATTAATTCCTCTATTATTGCCTAATTAGTTAGCATATACAAATATTTATTTACACTTTTTGTTTGTTCTCTTTTAAATATCTGAAAACGTATAAGAATTAACAAAGTATTCATAACACAATTTGGTTTCTTTCTCTATCTATATATTTTGGTGATACTACTAAGTTCCCTACAAGAGATTGTTACAAATTTAAAAATTCAGTCATTTCATTTAAAAAATTTCTTGTTTATTTCCTATTGTTTATGGTAATGCCTTTGTTTATAAATCAGCTTGTTTCTTAAATGTTGATGTCTTCATTAAAAAAGTCTAGACTTTTTTCAAGTTGTGTAATGTAATGGTGATCAAACTATCTACTATCGTTATATTGAATATTGCCCCCGAAAAGTTCACCAAAATAACAATTTTTTATCCATCAAAATAACAATTTTTTATCCATTCAATGAAATCTCATCATGGATGGAATTTTAAGTTAATTAACTTCAATATCCTAGTAGTCAAACTAACACATCATGGTTGAGTTATAAATAATATTAATCTTATTATTGTTCTTTACAGAGTTTTGGGCTTGCATGGATTGTAGGTTCACCGCCATTGTTTTGGGTTATTTTCTCCCATTTTATTGCAGCATCTGTTTATTCAATCAATGTGAGTTCTTTTGGATGACATTTAAATTTTCTTTCTCCTTAAGTTTATTCAAGGCATAATTATATTAGGAGTCACATTGGATAATTTGTTCATTTCAATGTTAATAAGACGTCACATAATGCAATAGTTGTCTAGTTAAAATAATAGGCAATGAATGTTATGCAATATTTGTCCACATTCTAAATTTTCCTAATACAAATAAACTTGTGTATATTTAATTGTAAGAATGTGACACTAGTTTGCTTTGCCATAAGTTAGATTTTAATTTTAGATTTTAGAAAACCTCAAGTTGAAAACATGATTTAATAATGATTACATCTATTTGTGTTTCTGAAATCTTTCAGTTGCCCCTATTGAGATGGAAGAAATCTTCGGTGCTTAGTGCATTGAACTTCATACTTGATCGAGCAATAATACTCCAACTTGGAATATTTCTTCACATGCAGGTGGTTTTGTTAAAACATTAGCTTCTAAACTTGTAATATAAAAACAAATATTTTTGTACAAGATTTTGTGTTGTTTTAGTTGAATTCACAACAAATTATCAAAAGCTAACTTATTAAGGGATTTTAGGCTTTTGCCTAAAGAGTAGTACTTTAGATAGCATATTATCTAACATCTACATATTAGTTTCGTATATAGTAGATGAACCTTCATACCAAGTCAAAAGTTTTTGGTTGTTAATATATATGTGTAAAATTAAATGTGCAGACTCATGTGTTCAAGAGGCCAATCATGATTCCAAAATCATTGATTTTTGCTTTAGTAGTTATGAGCTTAATCACTGCAGCTCTATCATTTTTCAAGGTAAAAGATGAAAGTTTATATTTTCTAAAAATATACATGTATATCATATGTGAAAATAAAACTTACCTTTTTGTTGACTTTTATAAAGGATATACCTGATACTGAAGGAGATAAAAAATTTGGCATTCGAAATTTCGCAGTGGTTTTAGGCCAGGAACGGGTATGGTCTTCTCATTTAGCATCTAATAGCCATAGGATTTGGTTGTGCCCTTATGTATCTATGGGTTTCCCCTAAATAAATTTTTTTTCAGACATTCTGGATTTGTATTTCACTTCTCGAAATGACTTACGGAGCTGCCATTCTGTTTGTGGGAGCAACATCTTCTTGTCTATGGAGCAAATTGATCACGGTGATGTGCTAATTACTTGTATAGTTTATCCATAACTATTACTTTGCAATATTCTTTATTGTGTCTAATCAAATTTTATAAGTTTCAATTCTAGATAATCTAATTGTTATTTTGATTACATTTGTAGAATAACGAGTTTCAAGGAATTCAATTTATATAATCTTCTTCCACCTCATGTTTGCATTTTGTGCAATATAGTGATCGGTGAATAATTAAAATTTAGCACTTGTTTTCTTTTATGCAATTGTCATCTAAAAGTCTTAAACATGTCTACTTTCACTAATGTATACATAGTTTGTGTTAAGTGTATAACATAAGGAAATTGTTAATCTTTATTTTATAGAATATTTTGTCTTTATTTGTATATTGTCTAGATATATTAGTGTCAAATTTGTTGTTTTAAGGTGGCATAATATGAAGAGAAAGCTGAAGTCGTTCCATAATTTTTCAAATTATAGTGTCATTACATAGATGGATATATATAATGAATGTGAACATGGTTTTATTATTTCACTTAATTTAAGTTGATTCTCATTTTCAATGTGTTAGAGTTTGGCACATGTTATTCTGGCATCAGTTCTTTGGTATCATGCGAAGTGTTTAGATGTCAAAAACAAAGCAGCCACACAATCTTTTTATGTGTTTCTTTGGAAGGTAATATCTAACCTTATATGTTTATTTATCATCACAAGAAACTTATATTCAAAACTAATATATATAGCTTAATAATGGACTTTATGCAACAATCCTTCAAAGGAAATGATCATCTCATCACTTTTACCTTTTACTAAGAATCAATAGTTGTTTAGTATCTATAAAGTGAAACTCACTATAATTCATTTTAATGTAAATGAATCTACAATGGTCACTAGTGAGAAACTATGAATGACTTATTCATCTTTTAAAGTGGCAATCAAAATGAGACAACTTTTTGTTGTTAAAACATTACAATAAAATTGACTTTGTGGTGAGGGACATAAATTATTTCTAAAAATGGAAAATTGTAAGTAAATAATTTTTTGTACATTTACTTACAAACAATCTATTTGTCCATTATATGAGTTATATAATAATGTCTTTGTAAATTTTTGCATATAATTAAATAGTTGTAAGTATAAATATTTGAGTTTTACCTATACTAAATATTTGTAAGTAAAAGTAGTTTTTAATTTTACCTACAAGCATCATGTCTATAAGAATTAAACATCCTTAGGTACATGACATTTTCTTTGTAGAGAAATATCAAACAAAATAAGATAATGACGTGATAAAAGAGAGAAATAAAAAAGAAATAATAAGCATTAATGAGATATTTGGAGCTAAGAGATGTCTACCAATTATTTCTTTTAGAATTTTTATCATTAAAATAAAAGATATATAATAACTAGTAGCATAGATATTGACATATAGCTTTGTGAAAATTTTAACACTAATGACAAAGAGCACAATCCATAGTGACTTCCTAATCTCCTTATAATATTCATTTAAAATAAAATATTTTAAGTGAAAATAAAGTTATTCTTTTGTGCAAGTTAAAATCAATATCATCTTAATTTTTAAGTTTTTATGTTTAGCTTCTCAACAAGCATCTTATGTCAACAATTTTATTTTAGAAAATGTTTAATAATGGGATTTATTATTGAAAATCTCCTATAAACTAAATCTAAAATAGACCTTGTTATTTTCTTATATATTTATTTTTAAATGTTTTTTAAAATGTGTTCTGTTTGAGTTTTTTATAAGAATATATAATTTTCTTGATTTTTCAAACAAACAAAATTAATCAATAGCCAAACATATATACATCTATTATGCATATTAAGTAGAATAGATGTCTTTAGGTCTTGTTACTAATGTCTTGTTTAATTTGTGTTTTTCTTTCAGCTACTTTTTGCAGAGTGTTGCATCATACCATTCGTTAGATAAGAGTGCAATGTTAGTCACAATATCCATGCTTGAAGGGCGTTGTAATAAGAGTTAAATGAAAATTGATGAAAATCAATGGAGTTGCCATCAATTATTATTTAAGAAAAGTAATTGTAAAATTTTCTATTTTAATATAAAACCAGTTTTTGAGAAGATGTTTTACTTCAAAAGTCTAGTTATGTATAAGAAAAGGTGCAAATTGAATTCCACCACACCACTAATACATTTCTTAAAAAAAAATTGTTACATTTCGTTGACTATGTAAAATATAAATATTTATTTAACTTCTTTTTATTTTCAAATAATGAAAACAAAGATTTTCATTATTTAATGAAATTAATAAAATATCAATGAAAACTTATTATTCAATTTTGTCTTAAATCTTGAAAAACTAGTTTTGATACCAACAATGATAATTAAGTCCTTAGTCCTATGTATCATCTAGTGCTCATAATATAGTTCATTAGAAAACATTGATATTATTATTATTTTTATTTATTTATTTATTTTTATTACATTTTAAGATCTCTAAATATTATATATCATACATTATAAAAGAAAAAGAATTGACTAAAGTGTACATTTAAGTTATTTTTTGAAATTTCATGATTTTAGATGTTTTATCCTTTAAAAAAGTGTTTTGAGATTATCAAGTTGTTACAATTAATGTTCCAAACGTCTAAGAATAGAAAATGTCACATTTAACTCACATACTATTTATGAAAACTCATTATTAAGTTATGAAAAATAATAAATTTTGGTAATGAGAAATATAAGAATTTTAAATTATGTTATGATGCTAATATTTTAAATTATATTGAGATATTTTATCTTTTATAAAGAAATTTTAAGCTTAAATATGACACCCTTTTGCCTCAAATAACTAAATAAAGAATTTAATATATAATAAAATTTTAAAAGCAAAAAATACTTGTAGAGTATAAAACTTATTAAACATCACCTCTTAGTAAAAGAGCTTACAAATCTTTCAACAATTCTAATAAGTAAAAGGAAGCATGACTAACAATGTATGAAATTAAAACAAGGCACAACTCGGCTATTAGAACAAGACTTCAACATAAAACATGATTAACTAAAATTTAAATCATTCAGTCAAACTACTAAAACCATAATTCTTTACTCCCATGTCACACTAACAGGGTTAGACTTGCATTTGGTGTGGATTGACGAGGGACCTCTCTACCAAACTCACATCTGACATGAGATCACCCATGCCTCAGATGGCGATGTCTAGGAATTCTTTGTCTCAATGCCACCCAACATGGATATCCCCACGCTCGACAACAAGGAGTCAGGGAACCCTCTAGAACCTTCTTGTCCTACGTGGTCAGTGCCACGCCTGACATCCCCATATCTCCCAAAATCGAAGTCAAATGGTGTTGACCAAAACACCTATTGCCTAGTACTGAGAGGACATAATCCTCTCTAACATACCTACGCTCGATGTGACCAATTCCACGCTTGGGGCACTTGCAGATTCTACACATTGTAGAATCACAAGTTGCTCGATACATTTACTACAAATTCATTCATACACATTATTTTGCTGCAATTTATCATCAAATAAATCAATAATGGTTTACCACTGATGCATCAATTTAACAACATCAAACCATGCAAAATTCATCCAACCAAGTTAAAAGCCCAATATTATAACTCAACTCTCAAACATTATAAATCAACCTCATACCCATTCAATCAATGTTAGATATGAATTGATTAATAAAACACAAGACAACATTAACAAATTTCATACAAGGACATTTATTAGAATTTCAACTAGAAGCCTAAGAGACTTAGGAATCACCTCTTTACCCTTAACTCTCATATATGCCCCTGGATGCAACAAGTATCACTCTTCATACCTTGAGTGATGATCTCAAGATTCAACATGCTTCCCATATCTTCGACTACTATTTTGCACTCCCTTTGTTGTTTTCTTCTAGATTTTCTTCTATGAGTACTCTAGATTTTCAAAATGCATAGTGAACCTAATCCTCTCTATTTGTTTCTTTTAATAGGCCTTCAGGTTGGGCCTAAAGTCCAACCTAATCCTCTCTAATTTACTACTTCCCTTATTTTATTTTTTAATAAAACATTCCATTATATTGATGAATAACTTTTAATAATTTTTTTAAGTCATCATCAACTACGTAGTCTCACACTTGTACAAATTTCTAGATCTTTCTCATTCTAGTTAGTTCAAGCTATTACAAGCCCACTAACTTCCACCTGGTTTGTCCTAAATCATATTGTACTAGGAGAGAGCACCTGCTCTAATACTATTAGTAACACTCCTTAGATTTGTCGTCTCAGTGGCTCCACTACATGATACTTCACACAGCCCCTTATTACTCAAATAAACATATTTCTTCCAACCCAAATAATTAAAAAAATACTATAATTAATAATTAATATATATATATATAATATAAAATAAATCTATTTCTTCCAACACAATTATAATTAGAATAAAATATATAAACAATTACAATAAAACACATATTTTTCTCCAAATACTTATTATAACAAAATAACATAAAATATATATTTCTCTAATAAATATTATAAAAATAATTTTCATAAATATTCATGACTTAATTAAAATATTCATAATTATTAAAAGACTTTAAAATATTTTATAAAACCCATTTAATTAATTAAAAGAACTATAAGAAAACAATCCTAATAAATATAAAAATAAATAATAATTAAACTATTATATTAGTAGAAAATTCGGGGTGTTACATGACATCATCTATCCCGCATACCATAATACATAAATAATAAAATAAAGGGAAATATAATCCTTCATAATTAAATACCAAACATGTTCAGATAGAGACCACCACATCCGTAACTTGAACAAAATAGCATAATCAACAAAAATTACAAAAGAAACAAAACTAAAGTTTTCGAAATAAATTAATAGAAACAA